GAAGACAAGGTTATATGTTAGGTCAAACAATTGCAAAAGTGATTAAAAAATGATCAAAGAGATAAGAAAATTGTGGATACTGACAGCAAACTGAGCATGGTTGGAATTGGCAAGAGCAGAATATGGAAAGGGGAGATAGAAGGACTGGAACTCAGATTTCAAAGTATAGAAGAAGAAAAGAGAGAAAAATTGATGGAGGTAAGGAGAGAAATCTTGACAGAAGCACCAGTGATAACCAAAGACAAGCTGATGGAAGGAGCAGATGGAGGGTTTCGAGTTTTCATAAGATACGAAATGAACAACAAGTTGCAAAGAGAAGTCCATACAAGACTTACTAAGAAAGTAATCAGAATATTAATGCTACAAATGGCAAGAGACATAAGACTGCACTATTACTAGAAAGATACAGGCTGATGTAATGAAAATTAGTTAAACTTAGTTAAATTTAGAGTATTATGTATAAAATGAAGCGATAATAATTATAGTCAAATAAATGATTAATAATGATAATGCATATATGTGTGTCTGTTTGATAATATGAAATTTTATATAAACTATAAATGGAGACTATGAGAGGAGGTTTAAAAGTTTTATTATTAAATATAACCAATATTTATTTAGAACATGTTATAAAGATGTAATGTTATTGGATGATTTTAGGAGGATCTAATGGAATGCCATTATATAGTTTTACCTTAAATTTATAATATTTTATGTAAAAGGATGTAAAAACAATCATAGTCAAATGAAGGTTGAGGTACAATAATAGTAATATATATAAATATATTTGATTTAAAAATATGTGATTGATATGAATTGTAAGTGATGACTATGGAAGGGATGTATAGAAATTTTGTAATCAATTGATACACTTTCTATAATTTGTAAATGGAAGATGGTTTAATTTTTTTTTATTTTTTGTTCTGTCTGTTTTTGCTTGTTTAAAAATAAAAAAAATTAATAAAAAAAGGACAAGCTTTGTGGAGAAGGTGTTAGTGATTGGTGGGAGGGTGGGGACAGGGCTAAATCCAATATTTACCTTGTCAAAATTGCAAGGTGATGGCTCCTGTTCCTATGATGCCCTGCACTTGAGATCAGCATTCCTGCGAAGCTATGGTTGATCCAAATTTCAGTGGAAAACATTTCTTTAGCAAATGTACATACCCCTCCGCATCTCATTGAATATGGCTCTGGCCTGCCTCACTGACAATCAGAACAATAGAAGAGTGATTAAAACAAATTGAACACATTTTTAGAAAAATAAATAAAAACTAAGATAGCTGAATAATAACAATCACTAAATAGAGTACAGTCACCTCATAGGCTTCCTGTGGGATTCCTAAAGGTGTAGGAGAAAACTTCATTTTAAGAAGAGTTGTATGGGATCAGATCAAAAGTCTCTGTGGTCCATCATTCTGTTTCCACAATGACTGATGATCCCTGTAAAAAGACTAGGAGTCAATTTCCTTTAGAAATTGTGTCCTGCAATATGTTTCTTGATGTACTTACAAATGTACTTAAAAAACTGGCAAATTAATATAAATTGGAATATATAACAATCATTACCACTAGAAGTCGTACAGTGTTGATGGTTTCGCGAAATGAAGTAGATCTGCAAAAATAAATATATGCTTGTTTGGGTTTAAATTTGCTTTAGGATGGAGAAATCAATTTTCATCAAGTCATTCATTAGGAAAAGCCTGTTTTTCTTATCTCCTTTTTCACTGACTATATTCCATGGATATATAATTAAAAATAAGCTTTACTGAACATTGAAATATTAAGGTCCAAGAATTGTTTTACTAATTTCACCCTTTAAGCATCAAAACAAGTGGTGGGGAGATAGATGAATTGATAAACTTTATAATCCTTTTTTCCATGTTAGTTTTTTAAATCGATTTCTCCTGCTTCTAGCAGCCCTGAATATTTTACAGTTAGGGCAAAAACATGTAAGATACCAATTTGTTTTATCTTCCATAAAATATAGGTCTATTATTTTATCTCATCAGTTCATTGAGTCCTCATCAGATACGTCTCAGAGCTCAGCTGCCTCTTTTTTAGATTTCACTAAATTGGAACACTTCTGTCTACAATCACATTTTGTTCCACTACTCAGTTTTGTCAAACACCCCCCCCCACCCCCGCACTTGGAAGTTTTTGCACTTGCAAGAGCTTCTATGGACATGGGGTATGCTGTCTTCACTCTTCCTATGGTTGTACAGAGCTGGAAATCTGCAGTATTCTCAGATATAGGCTTCTCCCTCTATCCTGTTGTAAATTACTAAAGTGAAGGAGATTATGCAAAAGATTTTGGTTTGTAGCTGACTTTCTCCTCAATCTTTCTCCAGTATTTTTTACCTCTGAACATGTATGAGAAGAACAATAGTGTGATTGATAAAGTTTGAAAGAGAGGATGTATATGACTGTACAAAAGAGATTAATGTGCACTCCAATATTAAATGCTTGCTATGAATTGTTATATCATGATCATACAAGTAGTCTTTGTTTACTGACCATCGAGTTGACCGTTTACAGTTACAATAGTGCTGAAGTAATTTCATAACCCATTTATGACCTATGGTATTTATATAGTCCACTAGATGGTGCTACATTATCATAAACATTTGGATAGTATATTGGTATTAATATCCCATTTCTGAATAATTTAATTTCCTTTCCTGTTAGCTGTAATATTAGAGAACATTACAGTTAATAAAATAAATAGAAGTGAAATTTTAATTTATATTTGTATTTTAAAAAATCGTAGTTTTTAATCTCAGAGAAGCACAATGCTGGAATTGAGATTAAAAATATACCTGTAATTGGATCCATCAGCCTAAACTGAGACACAATTTTGGACAGACATAGGAAATCTAAATTCTTCTGTATATTTCTTTTATAATTCTTATAAGGTGCATTCATGGCCTTTGTGGATTAGGAAATTTGAGAGTATCTCCCTTATAAAAATTAATGAAATAAATGTGATTTTGAACTGTTCCTGATTTGCCCACAGATATGTAAATACATTTTTTAATTTATTTACAACAATTAGATTTGTAGTGCTGATCCATTATTTGCCAAATATATATTGCAAAACACTTCCTAAATTTCTTTTCAGGCAAATACAGTAATTCTAAAAAGATATGTTGAAAGCAGGCTAGATTGAAAATTATTCATACAAGTATACCCAATCTTCATTATTCACAAAAGCTGTTCCAGACAAATATGAAATGAAACTTAATTGTTGCATTTAGTAGTTTTGGATCAAATGGCATTACTTTTTTGAGTTATTTGTCAATATCAGATATAGTACTAGATAAGAAAGTTGCCTTCTTAAATATTTTATGTATTTTCCTGAACAATTAGTTTGGATGGTTACATTATGCTCACTTATGCCCCTTGGATTTCTCTGCAAGAAATATTTATATAAGATAAATAAGTCACATCTTCACAAATATTTATCAGATACTTGAGTCCGTGTGCCAAGGACATATTTACTGTAGTACAGATTAGTACTACAGTTTTGCCTTCAATCTCAGGTTTAATGTTTGAAACATTAAAAAAAGTGTTAAGTAACTTTTATGGAGATTGACATATTTGTCCACCTTGATTCATCCCATTGTAAGGGAGTAAGAGTAAATATTAAATGTTTCAGTTTATCCTAAATATTGTAATAGGTCTAAATACTAATCCATTTAAAAAGTAGATTTTCCATTGCAATGAAATCAGATATTTGTAAAATGTTGGTATTTTGTTTAATTATGCAGATATGTTTGGGCAACAACAATACATGTTTGCCAATTTTTGAGATTATTTATATCACTTTTCAGTCAGTTGTTATTTACCATTACTTTGAAAGTTGATACAGTAAGATGTTCACACTGTTCATTCTATCTTCTTTCTGTTACAGATTAAGAAAGCCTATAGACAGAAGGCCCTGACCTGTCATCCAGATAAACATCCAGATAATCCCAAAGCAGGTATGGAGACTTGTGATAAAAATCTGTCTGGCTTGCCTTACAACTGTTTTCCATGTGATCCATCAGGAGAAAATAGGTCGTCCGTCCCCCCGTCCCCCCCCAATATATAATGGCATGTAACAATTCTTCTGAAATCAGTAAGAGTTAGGCAAAATGGTAGTTTCTATGAGACAGGTTGCAAGATAGTCACTTGATATAAAATGGTTCTCTCATAGCATTACAAGTCTGATACTGATCTCTCTCTTACTCAACACCATTATTTAGGTGTTTACGTTCCCCACATGTGGACAGTGGGCAACCCAGGGTGTTGACACTTTTGCTACAAATTCACTCTAACAGGGGAGAAACTTCCACTGATGGCTAAGAGAAGAGCAGAGCCAGTCTCAGTGTTGCTGCCATGAAACATTTTGATGCCTGAGCAATTATCTTTGTAAGCTGCCCAGAGTCAGAGTAAATTGGGCAGCCATGGAAATTTTGATAAATAAATAAATAAATAAATAAATAAATAAATAAATAAATAAATAAATAACATTAATCTGCATTGTTGAACAATTGATTATCAGTAGTTTAGTTGGTGTAACTCCATAGCTTCCCTTATTTACGAGGGAGATCCAGTTTGGTCCTTAGAGTAGGTCCTCCTAATAGATTACCTCTGAGGCCTACCTTGGCAATGATCTTTACCACAGATGTGATATGATGCTTGTTCCTGTTAAATCTTTTATCCAAGTAAAATGAATAAATGATATGTACCTAAAATGATACTAAAAGTACCTACTCTTTTTTTTAATGTTCTATAGCTGAACTCTTCCATCAATTGTCTCAAGCATTAACAGTTCTAACAGATGCAGCAGCAAGGGTAAGGAATTTGATTCTGTGTTATAAATGCAAAAAAATGTTTGATTTTGTCATTGCAAATTAATGCTTGAGCAAGCAGATACCTTTATAGGCACGTTTTTCAGCTGCTGAAAATCTACCTACCTATAGCTATTATACAGGAACATCCATTTTCCTGCACACTTTTCAGGAAAGAATATTAGTTAGAGAAAGGCTCAGAAAAATATAAAACAGGTAGACAACATTTTCTTTACATCTCCTCCCTCCAAGCTTTCTATATTTATTTAATGTTTTCATATGTGTAACATTCCGTTCTGTGCCATAGATGTCTAAAACTAAATTTATTAGTGAATCAAATATGTACTTAAAGGCTGTATAAAAATAACACTGTAGAGAATACATCTACACTTCTTCCTTCACTAATATATTCTGGATCACTTCCTTTTGGTCTTTGGTAATGAAAGATACTGAAATATATAGAACTATCAGCAATTCAAATGGATCAATTTTATATTTTAAATAGGTGATTATAATTCTTACCTCTTTCAGTATGTTTTGTCCTGTTACTTTTTTTGTAGGTAGCCTATGATAGAGTAAGGAAAGCCAAGAAACAAGCAGCAGAAAGGACCCAGAAACTTGATGAAAGAAGAAAGAAAGTCAAACTTGGTATGTTATATTGGACTGTTTATATTGAGAAAATAAATTCCAAGATTATAGGATCTTTACAATAATATCAGATGTACAGTTCATTTACAAACTGCATATTTATATACCATTAAGACTATAGGTACAGTGAAGTATGCTTACAATCAAAATAGTTTTTATCTTGTTCCATTTTTAAAAAAAAGTAAGTCTTAATTTTCTATACATTTTAAAAATATTTTTATTGAACTTTTTGACATAAAGATAAATATATCCATATAAAGAGAAAATAGAAAATGTAAAAGTGTTAGATACACTTTTACATTAGATAAAGAAAGAGAAAATAAAGTTAAAATTATGACTTCCAATCTTTACCACAGATACAAAACAATTTTTTTATCATTTCTCCCCCTTTAGAATTATATGTGTCTTATGTTCAATACTTCTTAATGCAGAAATCACCACTACCATTTTTGTCCATTTTCAGTAAAAAGGTTTCCAATCTTTTATAAACGTACATATTGTTTTGTCCCTAAACAAACAGGTCAATTTTGCCATTTCATCACCTTCACAGCCTATTCCTCCAGTGTTTATACTTCTATATTTTCTCATCTTTGTGCTATAATAACCTTGCTGCAATTACAATATAGAAAACTAGTTGTTCGTGAATCTTTTCTAATTGTTTATCAAGAAATAATAGTAAAGTTTTTACTTGATTTTACCTGAATATTAAATTTTAAAATTTGTGTCATATGCACCTGCTTCCAGTACCTTCTCAATTTTTCACAGGTCACCCATGCATGATAAAATATTCTTTCATGCTTTTCACATTTCCAACCGTAATTAGAATTACCTTTATCTATACTACACAATTTGTCTGGTGACACATAGAATATCATTTCAAATTATAGGACACTGAATTTCAAACCTTTTTGACTACATTCTCTTTCATTGATCCATTGTAACTCAAGTTCTTTGCCCATTTTATCATACACTTCTTAATTTGTACTTTTTCAGTTTCAAATCTTAACAAAAGTTTATGCATTTTAGCAATTACATGTTAATCATTTGTATATACTTCATTTTTAAATTGTTTTGTGGTCTATATGTGGTACTTTCTTATCTGTATTGAAATTTTCTCTTAATTGTATATATAAAAACCATTGAAATTAAATCCCTCTGCAATTAATTGTTCTACTTTGCTGTAGATCTTGAAGCTCGTGAAAAAGAAGCTTACTCCCAGGTTAGCAAGGAAGAAGAGATTGAGATAACTAGGACGTTAGAGCAAGAGGTAAAGTTATTATTGTAAACAGATATTATTTTATATGAAATACATTGGTTGATATATTCATGTTTAGGAGCACCAATGTAATTATTGAATTATTGAATTCTACAAAATAAATAAATGATGCTGGGATCCTAGTTAAAATACATTTGCTTTTCAGGCTTCAATGCACAAGCAAACAAGCAGAGAAATCTATTATTTAATTCAGAGGAAAGCACTTGCTTTGCATGAATAAAGTTGCAGATGTCAGTTTTTACATCTTCCAATATAATTTTTGTTTGCAAACCTAGGAATTCTCCAGTAAATGTAGAGATTGTTTAGCAAGATGATAAAATAATCTGATGATATAGACAATTTTCTATGTTCATACTTCACACGTTAAAAAAAACTCTTTAGCTTGTTTAATTGTGATCAGTAAATAGAATGTGGAGCTAAATAAATGATAGGTCAATTTCTTATGACAGTTCCCCAAAAAATTGTAAGTAGATTTTTTTTTCATTAGAGACAGTTCTTAAAGCAATATTGCCATGATTTTTCTTTTCTGCTACTCACCCCAGATCCAACGGTTACGTGAAGAGGGATCTCGGCAACTGGAGGAACAACAAAAACTAATGCAGGAACAAATCCGGCTTGAGAAAGAGCGAATACGAAGTAAGGCCAAGCAATCTTTTGCTTGCTTTTTAGAGCTTGAATGTTTTGCATTAATTTTGATATGAAGCTTTAAAAAAAAGAGTTAAATTGGGAAATCCATCAAAGAACCTTTGTGTCCATTCAGAACAGTGGTGTGTTTCTATTTTTTTTACTACGGTTCACTTGTTTCTGCATGTGCAACTGTTCTGTGCATGCGCAGAAGCATCCAGGCAGGTGGGTGGAGCCTCCCACCGCCGCCACTACTGGTTTAGCTTGGTGCGAGCAATCTACCTCTGATTCAGAAGTAATTTTCCTTGAATTCACTAGAATGTTTTCAAAGCTAAATACACAGGATTGCATCTTACGCTGTAACATTACTTTAGACAGTTGTTTATTTCTCAAGAACTTTATACCTATCATAAGAGTGTGGAAATGAAAATTAGTTTAACGAATGTTAATCAAACAGCTTTGTGATTAACTATTTGTTGCAGCTTCTCCAGTTCCGACTGACATGAGATATTTGCTTTGCAGTATTTCTGTCAAGGTTTTTTTTTCTTTATTCTTACTGACAATGATGCTTTATTTCTGGGTGTACAGAGAAAATTAAAACATCTGTTGAATTGTACATCAAAATAGTATGCATTTGGTCTTTAATAAAATAGTTTAGATTGGGAGATCAAACTGTAAACTGAACTAGAACACTGGATTTTGTTTAGCCAAAAGATATTATTTTTAGATTCAAAACTATTGCAACCATAATTTTCATTTTATTTTATTTCTTTGAGGTAAACAAGATGGGTATGGAGGGAATGGCACAGGAACACCCAAGCTCAAAGTAAGACATCCCCAAAAATTTGAGCTATGAAGAAAGATGAACAACTAATTTATCATTCCATCAGTAGAAGCCACATGGATCGCCTGCAGCCTCCCACACAGTTGGACTGCCCTTGGCATCCTCGGTCCTTATGGGAATTGTCACTTACTTCACCTTAATGTGTTCCTTGCACTTTAATCTAGGCTCTAGGCTCTAGGATAAAGGTAATTAGAAGTTAAGTCTCTGTCACTTGGAATATTGACAGATTTCCAGATGCTACTTGGTGTATGTAATAAGTTTTCGTTATTCTAAAATGTGAATGCTTCCATATGCCTCAAAGTTCATTCAGTATCTGTACAAATTCTAATCTATTGTATTTATAGCGACATTAGACAACCTGTAACCCATTGAGTCATTGTTTTCTCATTCTGTGGCTTTTGTTGTCTTCTGGAGATGTCCAGAACTCTCATCCTTGATTTCTTCATCTTCTTTGCTCTTTGTTTTTTTGTCTCTGTTCCTGAAGTTTACTCCTTTGTCTCTTCCCTTCTTCTCCTTCTGTGCCTTTTGTTATTCTGAAGACATGCATGCCTCTCTCCCTCTGACTCCCTCCTTCTCTCATGTTATTTGTGATGACTGTTTGATCCTGGAAACATATGGCCCTGATCTCATCCATTTTTGCATGCTCTTCCACCTTACAGTTTCTCAGTGACATTTGATGTCATCTGTTGACCATGTTGTTCCCCCTCTTTCCACATGGCATAATGAAACTGACAATATTTAAAACAAAATATTTTATTTTTTAACAACAATGCTGTACGGTACCATCATCACCTTAGAAGAGTTGCAATTTTTTGCTGGCTTGCAAAAAGCTGGCAGAGAGTTTTGGAAATGACAATCACCTTACTTTGGCTGATTGTGGCAGTGCAGTAGCACAGCTGACTACAGCAGTGTAGCAGTGCTGAAGTGACCACAACTTTGCCAAATTTCATTCCCATAAGAGTAATGGAGCCCAAATTTTGGATATATTCTTTAAGTTAATCTGTTTGAGATACATTGGTCCAAAAATGGTTGCTCTTATGATGCACCATTTTTCCCAATTGAAGGTTGAAACAGACAAACAGAAGATTTTTTGGAATATATAGATAGAAATGAAAGTAAATTGTGGATGTTGATATAGTAGGTCTTGGACCCTGCACTATGTGAAACTAATTTGTGGCTTTTCTCCATCAGCTTCGATGGAAGTGCAAGAAAGAAGATGAAACTAATGGAGGTTACTCAAAAGAAATTCTACTGCAAATTCTACAAAAGGTCCTGTTCTAATGTCTCCTTACCGTAATTGGCCTTGCTTAATATTATTCATATTCATATGGAGCAATAAACAAGGCTTGTGGTACATTCTGCTGTGGCTTGAATGAGCTATATGTGGGTGCATCCGGTTTAACCTGGTTCACCGACAAATGCGCGATAGACATGTGCGCTGACAAAACCACGACGGACAAATTAGCGCCATCAAAATCGTGAATTGATGTTCGACAAAATCATGACAACAAATGCGTGACGGCAAAATCACATCATCAACAAACTATAGACAGCCCAGTGAGTGTGCTGGGCCTTTAACATAGTGGGACGCGTATACGTACGTTATAACCCTAACCCTAAAATTTTTCCGATTTTATTGTGCTTGTCATCGCGCTTTTGTCTGTACGATTTTGACGTCGCGAATTTGTGGGCGCGATTTTGACGTCACAATTTTGACATTGCGTTTTACTCGGTGCTATTTTGTCGCCATGCCTATGTCTATCACGCAATTGTCGGGTCACGGTTTATCCTATCATTTGAACTAAAAATCCTGGTTTATTTTCTTCTGAAGAAAAGCTGAAGTCCAGGATCTGGTCTTAGAGAAATCTGGGGATTGTTTAACTATATACAGTAGTAGGAATAAACAAAAGCAGACAGACTAAATTCATTAGCATATGTATATTGTAGAAGGGTCACCAGAATGCCACATTCTGTATAATTATGGCAATTATGTAAAAATAATAAAGACATTTTATATAATTTTGCATAAACCAATGAGAAGATGCCATGATCATTATAAATCTTTTCCAGACAAGTTAACAAGGATAGGCATTGCTTAATATGTATTAATATCTAATGTCACTTTGGTTAATACAAATTCACGATA